CTGTTTTTCTTTTTCTTCTTCTTCTTCTTCTGCTTTTTCTTATTATTATTATTTTTCTTCTCCTCCTTCTCCTTCTTCTTCTTGCAGGTCACGGCTCATGCGCAGTTTTTTTATCGGTAAAACAATTGGCGATCATTGCCTTCTGTTCTTCCTTCTTCTTCTTCTGCCTTTTTCTTCTCTTCTTATTTTTTCTTTTTTTTCTTCTTCTTTTTCTTTTCTTCTTCTGTTTTTTTCTTTTTCCTCTTCTCTTTTTCTTTTTTTCTTCTTCTTCTGTTTTTTCTTTTTGCTCTTCTTCTTTTTTCTTCTTCTTCTTCTTCTTTTTTTCTTTTTTCTTTTTCTTCTTCTTCTTTTTTCTTCTTCTTCTTCTGTTTTTTCTTTTTCCTCTTCTTCTTCTTCTTCTTCTTCTTCTTATTTTCTTCTTCTTGCAGGTCACGGCTCATGCGCAGTTTTTTTATTGGTAAAACGATCGGCCGATTTGCCCATCATTGCCTTCTTCTTCTTTTTCTTCCTCTTCTTCTGTTTTTTCTTTTTCTTCTTCTGCTTTTTCTTCTTATTATTATTTTTTCTTCTTCTTGCAGGTCACGGCTCATGCGCAGTTTTTTTTATCAGTAAAACGATCGGCCAATTTGCCCATCATTGTCTTCTTCTTCTTTTTTCTTCTTCTTCTTTTTCTTCATCTTCTGCTTTTTCCTTCTTTTTCTTCTTCTGCTTTTTCTTCTTATTTTTCTTCTTCTTGCAGGTCACGGCTTTTTATCTGTAAAACGATCCGCCGATTTGCCCATCATTGCTAGGAAAATCGGCCGATCATCAAAATCGGCCGCGAATTTTCCAACATGCCCGATAAAAAAAATGTGCAAAAAGCCTGAAAAATGGCCAACCAATTAACCCACTAATGGTGCGAAAATCAGACAATTTTCGACCCGCCTATGGCCGGCATAAAGGGCCAATCTGTTAACAAGACATGACCAAATGCCCTAGCAGCACCTGGAAGGAATTTTGAGTTAAGCCCGGGATTTACTGTTTATCACATTCAAATGCTGGTCTGAAACTGTCAAAAACAGTATAGATTGTCTTTAAAAAGCACTTAGTGCTGCAATCGTCAGGAGAAAACAAATCTCGATAATGGTGTTCAGATGTCATCTATCTGATACGTCTAACCAGACAGGAGAGTAGAGTTACTTAGGCAACAACAGCTCATCAGTACATCTATATGTCTGTACATTGTGATTTGGTAGGAAGAAGAAAGAAAAACGGCTTTATATCACCCAGACCATCTCTTCTCATCTGCTCTCATCATTGCAGTTGTGTAGGAACAGACGTGATCAGCTGAATTCAGGAACACATCACAAAGTGCCAAGTTAGACTAAATTAGATGTAAACCCTCACTGATTGACATTTAGTCTGCACTGTGTATCATAAACAATTAGACATAGACATGTTGCTGAAACCTTTTCTCTTATGAAACTCGAAGACTCATACACCGAAAGATAACAAACAATAAAATAAATAAATGATTAAAAAATAAAATAATATCTAAAATAACTACCCAAAAATTAGTGTCCAAATTTAATATCCAAATGTGAGTAGTCCACCAAAATATCTCAATCCAGTGTGTCCAACTTTAATTCTCCATTCCGGACCACGTGATACCTTGAAAGAATATAACTATAATAGTGTATTACCTTCAAAAATCACACAAATGTATAAACCTTTAGGCAAATTAGTATATACTATTATCAGTGCAAAATAAATAAATGTTTATAACCAGATTCAACTTTGAGTGACACGCGAATCATGCAAAAAAAATCACTCTGTGTACACTCTAATCAACGTGAAAAATTGTGTATACAAATAAACAAAAAAAAATATATATATATATAATATAAAATAAATAAAGTGAGACAAATCAATCAATAAATCAATCAATCAGTGAAGTGAACACTCCGTGACCACCTCTAAATGTTAAGATTAAATGCAATTACCCTCATGTAGTAATATCAAGCTTAGCGGGATGTTCTAATGCAGGGGCGGACTGACCATTTGGAAATTCGGGCACTGCCCGAGGGCCCGGGGTCAGTAGGGTGCCCCATGAGATGCCCCTGGTACCTTTTTCATAGGCTTTTTTGAGTTTGGGCAAGGACACAGGGGCCCCATGATCCCCTATTGCCCGGGGGCCCCATGAGTTGTCACTCCGCCCCTGTTCTAATGTATACAGCAGTCACTTCCAAGCTTCCATTCACCGTATATATAGTGACCTTCAACTCTCCATATTCCTCATAAAGGTAGAAAAGGGACTCATGTAGCATATATATATATAAAGAGTATAGAGACATTTAATAAACATCTTACATTGGGGATAGTATTGTGCAGCACAACACTTAAAGATCAGTCTCAGCAGCTTCCATGGCTCAAAACCACGTTTTACCAGTTCTCAAAATGGCCGCTCCGCCACTTCCGGTCTGGCGTAATATGTCAGAAGTCACGTCCTCTGACGCGTTTCATCACTTCCAGACTTCTTTTTTTTTTTAGACATAGACATGGTTTGCTTCTGCCTGCTACTGTCATGTCTTCTCCAGGGTAAGAAAATAAAATGTATGGAGTTATGAATGTGTTTTTCTGTCCTTGTCATTCACTGAGGAGTTTATTTCAAAGATGTGGGCAGGGGAGAGGATAAATATTTGGAAAGACCTTCTATAATGGTTCTATCCTCTCAGGCTGCTGCCTGTTGAGGCTGTAGCTCCAGAAAGGTCTTTGCCTCCCAAGCTCTGTCTAGAGAAAATGTAGCTCCTAAATGAATGTTGCCTTCCAAACTCTGGAAAGGGAGGATGCAACTTGAAAAGCGTCCTGGCTTCTCAGGTTCTGCCTGAAGAGGATATAGCTCAAGAAGTGTCCTTGTCTCCTGGGCTTTTTCTGGTGAGGGTGTATCTGCAAGAAGTCCACTCTATGCTTTCCAGGCCGATTCCCATGAAATGGAAGCCAAAGTGATTAAAGGGAGTTTTGTTCTCCTAGCTGCCAGTGATGTGGGCTACGAAGAAGAAAAGTATTTGGAGAGACCTTCTAAAAGGGTCCTTCCTGCTACCTGCTAAAAGTGTGGCTCCAGAAGAGTCCATGCCTCCCAGGAACTGTTTGGAGGGGAAGTAGCTTCAAAAGGGTACTTGCTTCCCAGGCTCTAGCTGGATAAGGTGTAGCTCCAGAAAGGTCCTTGCCTCCCAGACTGAACCTGGAAGATGTAGCTCCAGTGGGGGCATTGTCTCCCAGGCTTTGCCTGGAGTGGATGTAGCTCAAGAATAGTCCTTGCTTTCTATGCTCTACCTGGTGAGGGTGTATCTCTGAGAGGTCCATTATTTGCCTTCCGGGGCCCTTTCTGCCAGAAGGAAGTTGGAGCCCAAGTAGGGTGTTTTGATCTTCTAGGTGCCCATCTCGACTTAGAGTGTTCTATATCACTGAGGAGGTTATGCCAGTGATGTGGGCTGGGCAGAGAAAAATATTTGGACATACCTTCCAGAAGGGTTCTTCCCACTGCCTGCTAAAAATGCCTAAAACGATTCCATGCCTCCCAGGCTCTGCTTGGAGAGGATTTAGCTCCAGAAAGGTCCTTGCCTCCCAGACTGTATGTGGAGAGACCTGGGCCTAGAGTGTCCTAAATAGGGTCCCGTGGCAGAGACCTAAAGAGTCCTAAGCTGGGTCATTGTCTCCTAAGGCTCTGAAGAAAGTCAACCATAGGTGTCTACCTGTCTGAGCTCACAGAAATCCTCCATCTAGGCTTAGAGTGTCCTAAATCACTGAGGGGCTTTATGCCAGTGATGTGGATTGGGAAGGGGAACTCCAGAAAGGATCCCTGCCTCCCAGGCTCTGTCTGGAGAGGATGTGGGCCAATTTAGGGATCCAATTACCTCCAGCATGTCTTTGGTTAGTGCATCCAGGACTGGTGTGTGCAGGAGATGTAGCTCCTCCTAGCTGCCCATCTGGGCCAGAGTCTGAGCTCACAGAATCTCCCATCTAGGCTTAGAATGTCCTAAATCACTGAGGGGTTTATGACAGAGATGTGGATTGGGAAGGGGAAAAATATCTGGAGAGACATTCTGGAAGGGTTCTTCCCTCTCACAATGCTGCCTGCTAAGAATGTGGCTCCAAAAGGGTTGATGTATCCCAGGCTCTGCCTAAAGAGGATGTAGGTTCAGAAGGGCCCTTGCCTCCCAGGATCTACCTGAAGGATATAGCCCCAGAGGGGGCCTTGCTTCACAGTCTTTACTTAAAGAAGAGGTAGCTCCAGAAGGATCCTTGCCTCCAAGGCTCTGTCTGGTGAGGATGTGGCTCCAGAAGGGTCCTTGTCCCTCCAGGTTTTGTGTGCAGGAGATGTAGCTCCAGAAGGGTCCATATAACCAGGCTCTGCCTGGGTTGGGGGTGTATGTGTGAGAGGTCCTGTCTTTGCCTCCCAGGTGCTTTGCCTGGAGAAGAAAGCCAAAGCCAAGAAAGGGGGTTTTGAGAAGAAAGCCAAGAAGCTGCCCATCTGGGCCTAGCCTGTCCTAAATGGACCCGTGACAGAGTCCTAACCTGTCATAACCTAAGGCTGAAGAAAGTCAACCATAGCTACCTGTCTGAGCTCACAGAACCTACTTTGGACTGTGCCAGAGGCCCAAATAGTCCTACAGCTGACCTGTAGCAGAGGTCAAAAGATCCTGGAAGATAGTTGACCATCCAGGCCTGAAGAGTTATTAGTGAATTTTTCTGTGCAGAGGGAATTTTGGCTGCTGTTAGGCATCCTGCACCCTCAATCTTCTCTCCCTAAGACATTTGTGCCTACACATTTTAAGAGAAGGATTGGAGATACCAAAGTCTGTTTGTTTGTCCTCTTTGGTGGGTCTCTCTATTAAGAATTTACATCAAACGCATTTCAAGGGTTATTCAATTGTTGGCTGTTAATTCTCGATTTACTGTTTTATTGTAAAATTGCCGACCATCCCAAGGACCATAACAACCATCCATTGGAGAGAGGTCACTTTAGAAAACCAGAACCCCTCCATTAAAGCTGAGCTCCAGGCAAAACAACCAAATGCACAGATGGAATACGTGCCAGGGGCAGACTGACAACTCATGGGGCCCCCGGGCAATAGGGGATCATGGGGCTCCTGTGTCCTTGCCCACATTCAAAAAAGCCTATAAAAAAGGTACCAGGGGCATTTCATGGGGCCCCCTACTGACCCCGGGCCCTCAGGCAGTGCCCGAGTGCTCGAATGGTCAGTCCGCCCCTGATACGTACAAGAATATGCCCATTCAGTCCTGAGATACACACAGCTCCACCACACAGCACAGCCCTGTATGGCAGGGTGTGAGACCTGCTGCAGTTTCACTTTCACTTACAGGTCTCTACCTCTTCTCACCCTGGGACTGCAGTGATTATAGGGCTGCATTGTCTTGTATCTTTTTTGCCTGGAGTACAGCTTTAAACTTGAAGTCTAGTCTCTTGAGGCCTCCACCACCCTTATTGTGGAGTATACTGTACAAATCTTGACTTTTGCAAGTCAGTGCCTAGGCACGCCCCTGCATCCCACAATGCTACAGGGACACTATTCTCAGTGATTAGCAGTTTCTCTTGCTGTATCTTCAATTTCCTGGAAATACATGAAAATAGGACTTTTGCATGTGATGAAATGTGAGCATTGGTGAGCATTTACAGTAACAGTGGTTCAGTGGTTAGCACTTCTGTCTTGCAGCACTGGGGTCCTAATTAGGTCCTAGCCAGGACCCTATCTGTATCTGCCTTGCAGTACTGTGATCATTGGTTCAAATCCCAACCAGGACCTTATTGGTATAGTTTGCACTTCTGCCTTGCAGCACTGGGGTCTTTGGTTCAAGTCCTAGCCAGGACCCTATCTGTATCTGCTTTGCAGTACTGTGATCATTGGTTCAAATCCCAGCCAGGACCTTATTGGTATAGTTAGCACTTCTGCCTTGCAGCACTGGGGTCTTTGGTTCAAGTCCTAGCCAGGACCCTATCTGTATCTACCTTGCAGTACTGGGATCATTGGTTCAAATCCCAACCAGGACCTTATTGGTATAGTTAGCACTTCTGCCTTGCAGCACTGGGATCATTGGGTCAAATCCCAGCCAGGACCTTATTAGTATAATTAGCACTTCTGCCTTGCAGCACTGGAGTCCTTGGTTCAAATTCAAGCCAGGGCATTATCAGTATGGTTAACACGTCTTCCTTGCAGCACTGGAGTCCTTGGTTCAAATCCCTGCTAGGACCCTATCTGTATCTGCCTTGCAGCACTGGAGTCATTGGTTCAAATCCCAGTTAGGACAATATCTATGTGGTTAGTACTTCTGCCTTGCAGTAACAGAGTTCTTGGTTAAAGGCCCAGCCAGACCCTAACTGCAACTGCCTTGATGCACCAGGGTCCTTGGTTCAAATGCCAGCCAGGACCTATCTGTATGGTTAGCGCCTCTGACTTGCAGCACTGGGGTCCTTGGTTTAAAGTGTTACTAAACCCAGGACCCCACATTCTCCCACAGTACACAGAACATGGAATGCAATTATTTTAGTAAATATAAACTGCTAAATACCTTTTCTCTTCAACAGTTAGAGCAGTCTTGTGACTTCTATCAGTGTCCAGCAGAGCACAGGTTAAACCTTGTAGGAGGAGTTTTCTTTCTGCTCTAGGAGGATGTAGGACCCCTGACCCCCTGTCTGGACAGTGCTGATTGGCCCTGTACTGATCACATTCACTCTCCCAAGAAAAAAACCTCTCTAGCAATACACACTAAACTGAGCATGTGCAGAATGGCTATGATTCTGTCTGTCTTATCAGGAGATAAGACGTGGACATTTGCACAAGAGGAGGATCAGAGAAGACAGGATCAGATGACCACAATGCAGAGGATTAACCCCTTAGGTTCCACAGTGAGCATAACCAGCATGCTTTACTGCATATACTGACTGATTTTACTGTTGTGGGTTTAGTAACAGCACTGGGGTTCTTGGTTCAAATCCCAACCAGGACCATATCTATGTGGTTAGCATGTGTGCCTTGCAGCACTGGGGTCCTTGCTGCATATACAGACTGATTTTACTGTTGTGGGTTTAGTAACACTTTAAATCTCAGCCAGGACCCTATCTGTATGGTTAACACATCTGCCTTACAGCACCATGGTCCTTGGTTCAAATCCCAGTCAGGACCCTATCTGTATTTGCCCTGCAGCATTGGGGTCCTTGGTTCAAATCCCAGTCAGGACCCTATCTGTATCTGCCTTGTAGCACCAGGGTCCTTGGTTCAAATCCCAGCCAGGACCCTATCTGTATCTGCCGTGCAGCATTGGGGTCCTTGGTTCAAATCCTAGACAGGACCCTATCTGTATCTACCCTGCAGCACTGAGGTCCTTGGTTCAAATCCCAGCCAGGACCCTATCTGTATCTACCCTGCAGCACTGAGGTCCTTGGTTCAAATCCCAGCCAGGACCCTATCTGTATCTGCCTTGTAGCACCGGGGTCCTTAGTTCAAACCCCAGCCAGGACCCTATCTGTATCTGCCCTGCAGCACTGGGGTCCTTGGTTCAAATCCCAGCCAGGACCCTATCTGTATCTGCCTTGTAGCACCGGGGTCCTTGGTTCAAATCCCAGCCAGGACCCTATCTGTATCTGCCTTGTAGCACCGGGGTCCTTGGTTCAAATCCCAGCCAGGACCCTATCTGTATCTGCCTTGTAGCACCGGGGTCCTTAGTTCAAACCCCAGCCAGGACCCTATCTGTATCTGCCCTGCAGCACTGGGGTCCTTGGTTCAAATCCCCACCAGGACTCTATCTGTATGGTCTTGTGCATGTGAGCTAGGGACCTTAGATTGTAAGCTCTTGAGGATAGGTCCTGATGTGAATGTACAATATGTAAACTGTCAGCCCTCTATAAATACCTGCAATAAATAAATTCTGCATGTGGTCTCCGGCACTTTAAAAACAGAAGTAAAATGCAGAAGAGGCAAACCTCAACGTCTCCCCCACAGAGGCAGCAGATCTGCGCCTGACCTCCATTTTTTTTTCTCATTCATTTCCTATCATAGATCACGCTGTAGAGTCTTTATTCCCAAGAGTCACTCGTGTCATTTCCTCCGCCCACTGAAGATGGTTTCACTTCTGTTAATGTGTCCCCCAGAGCTGACACTCGTTTCATGGACAGATGAAAGTCACAAATGTCAGCCATGGAGCAGTACGGAGGACACGGTTCAACTATTGTAGAGTAGACCTTGTCAGCCTGCAGGAAAAAAACATTCTTGACGTGTTACTGCACCACTTATCATTAAAAAGGTATTCTTGACCTCTAGTGAGTGACTTTGCCTAGGCTGAGATGGTGTCATCGGTCTGCTGCAGGCAGGAGGAAGCATTTCCTCAGTCTCCTCTCCCAGGTTATCAGATTGCAACATTGTAATTCTACATTTTATCATTAAAAAGCCATCCTTCAGCTCCAGTCCAGTGACTTTGCTTAGGCTGAGATGATGCAATCAGTCTGCTGCAGGCAGGTGGAAGCAGTTCCTCAGTCTCCCTTCACTCTATGATGAGATTGCAACATTGTAATTCCACCTTTTACCATTATTTAGCCGTCTGTGAGCTCTAGTCCTATGACTTTGCCTAGGCCGAGATGATGCCATCAGTCTGCTGCAGGCAGGAGGAAGCATTTCCTCAGTCTCCTCTCCCTGGTTATCAGACTGCAACATTGTAATTCTACATTTTATCATTAAAAAGCCATCCTTCAGCTCCAGTCCAGTGACTTTGCTTAGGCTGAGATGACATCATCAGTCTGCTGCAGGCAGGAGGAAGAAGTTCCTCAGTCTCCCTTCACTCCATGATGAGATTGCAACATTGTAATTCCAACTTTTACCATTATTAACCTCCCTGGCGGTATTCCCGAGTGTAGCTCGGGGTAAAGTTTCAGCACCACAAGCGGTAACCCCGAGCTACACTCAGGAATACCTTGCAGCATTGGGATCCCTTCTGCACTTACCTTGTCCTGCGCTCCCACGATGTCCCCCCTGCAGTGTCCCCTGCAAGGGCGGACTGACAACTCATGGGGATCATGGGGCCCCTGTGTCCTCGCCCACACTCAAATCACACCCAAAAAAGCCTATGAAAGGTACCAGGACATCTCATGGGGCCCCCTACTGAACCCGGGCCCTCTGGCAGTGCCGGAGTTCCCCAATGGTCAGTCCGCCCTTGGTCCCCTGTAATGTCCTCCGGCCAATGACGGCATCCGTCTTCTGGGATCCGTTCCCTGCGACGTCGGGACGTACGGGGGACGGAACTGGCGGGAAATTTGAAAGTTGTAAAAGTGACATTCACTAAATTCACTAAAATCACATAGTATAACATTCCTGTATCAAACCATTTCACATACATTTTGTCCCGAGTGCTTTGTCCTGTGTCCTGCCTGCATTTTTACTGTTCTTTCTGCCTGGAAACTGAGAAACATCCATGGTGTCCAAAAAGCATCCCTTTAGGTCAAAAGCGGTTTTACACCAGCTAGAGAACAGCGATAGTAAATCAGAACCACTTGCAGAATTGAGTGATAATGATTCGTGGGGGAATTCGTCATCAGACACTGAAAACGATTTTGTGACTTTGCTCAGTGATGTGCGAACTTGGAGCTATATTTCAAATTTCAGTGTTTTTGGTTTAATTATATTATTGAATTAAATTTATTATATTATTATTATATTATTATTTTTTATGATTATTTATTAAGTTATAATTTATGATGATTTCGTGTTTCAAATTTTATCCTACCCGGGATGTTTACTAGACTCTTGTTCGGACAGATTTCAGTGAGTTATTCCTAAAAATTACAGCCTACAATAAAAAACGACATATTTCCATGCAAAAAAAATGTACCGCTTTGAGCACAGAAATATGGACATAACCAGACCGCTAGGGAGGCTACCCCATCTGTAACTCCAGTCCAGTGACTTTGCTTAGGCTGAGATGATGTCATCAGTCTGCTGCAGGCACGAGGAAGCAGTTCCTCAGTCTCCCTTCACTCCATGATGAGATTGCAACATTGTAATTCCAACTTTTGGAATTTGTATTATTATTTATAGTAATTTAGAATAATATTTATAGTAATTAACTATTATTATTATTATTAATAATATTATTATTCATGGTAATAATTGTAGCAGCAGTTATAGATTTATTTGAAATTATTAATTATAGTAATATGACTTCTGTATTATTATCATCATCATCAATTTTACTACAGTAATACTAATATTTTATTACTGTTATTTTTATCATTCATCATAGTAAAAGTAGTGGTTGTATCATTTAGAATTATTATTATTATTATTATATAGTAATTTATAATAATATTTATAGTAATATTATATTATTTTTATTATTATCATTATTCATGGTAGTAATTGTACAGCAGTTATAGATTGTTTTTAAATTAAATTATTAATGATAGTAGTATGCCTTCTGTATTATTATTATTATTATTATCATCATCATAATCAATTTTACTATAGTAATACTAATATTTTATTACTGTTATTTTTATCATTCATCGTAGTAAAAGTAGTGGTTGTATCATTTAGAATTATTATTATTTATAGTAATTCATAATAATATTTATAGTAATATTATATCTATTATAGTAACAGTAGCAGCAGTTATATAGATTTTTTTTAAAATATTATTAATTATAGTAGTATGACTTCTGTATTAATTATTATTATTATCATCATCATCATCAATTTTACTATAGTAATACTAATATTTTATTACTGTTATTTTTATCATTCATCGTAGTAAAAGTAGTGGTTGTATCATTTAGAATTATTATTATTTTATAGTAATTTATAATAATATTTATAATAATATTTATAAATAATATTTATAGTAATATTATATTGTTTTTTTTGTTGTTGTTATTATTATTATTCATGGTAGTAATTCTAGCCAGTTATAGATTTTTTTTAACATTATTAATTATAGTAGTATGACTTCTGTATTATTATTATTATTATTATTATTATTATCATCATCATCATCATCAATCAAATTTTACTATAGTAATACTAATATTTTATTACTATTATTTTTATCATTCATTATAGTAAAAGTAGTGGTTGTATCATTTAGAATTATTATTATTTATAGTAATTTATAATAATATTTATAATAATATTTATAATAATATTATATTTTTTTTGTTATTATTATTATTCATGGTAGTAATTGTAGCAGCAGTTATAGATTTTGTTAAGATTATTAATTATAGTAGTATGACTTCTTATGTATTATTATTATTATCATCATCATCATCATAATCAATTTTACTATAGTAATACTAATATTTTATTACTATTATTTTTATCATTCATTATAGTAAAAGCAGTGGTTGCATCATTTAGAATTATTATTATTTATAGTAATTTATAATAATATTTATAATAATATTTATTATGTAATATTATATATTTTTTTGTTATTATTATTCATGGTAGTAATTGTAGCAGCAGTTATAGATTTTTTTAACATTATTAATTATAGTAGTATGACTTCTGTATTATTATCATCATCATCATCATAATCAATGTTACTATAGTATTATTATTATTATTATACAGTATTTATAAAGCGCCAATAGTTCGCTCAGCGCTGTACATTACAAAGGGGGACAGAACATGTGACAGAACAATACCAATACAATGCAAAACATGAGGGGATTGAGGGCCCTGCTCTTTCAAGCTTACAATCCATAGTAATACTAATATTTTATTACTATTATTTTTATCATTCATTATAGGAAAAATAGTAGTTGTATTATTTAGAATTATTATTATCATTTATAGTAATTTATAATAATATTTATAGTAATATATATATATTTAATATTGTTATTATTATTCATGGTAGTAATTGTAGCAGTGATATATTTTTTAAATGAATAAATATAGTAATATGACTGTATTATTATTATTATTATTATACAGGATTTATATTGCGCCAACAGTTTGATCAGCCCTGAGGGCCCTGATCCTGGGAGCTTACAATTATTATCTTTTTTTGGCCATAAATACAGTAATAGTATGTTTGCTTGTTTGTTTTTTTTTTATCTTTTTCATAGTAATTGTAGTATTTGCTTCAGTTTCTTTATTATTAATTACAGTAGTATGACTTCTGTTTTATTATTTTTGTTTTTCACTGTGGTAATACAACGTAGTATTAGTTGCTTCTTAGTGTATCATTATTATTTGTAGTACCAGTACAAGTACTATTTAGTATTGCTGTTATTATTACCATTTTATTAGCACTAGTATTTGCTTTGGTTTTTATAATGATTAATTATAGTAGTGTTTGTGCTGTTTTATTATTATCCTTGGGAGTAGTCGTTGTCACGGCACGGGTTTTGTTGTTATCACCGTCATGATTGCTTGTACTGTACTGTACTGTAAGACTCTGTCATGCTATCCTTGGAGCACACATGACAAATCTCTGTGTGAACTTTCCTGGTTGTGTTTGCAGAGGGATTTGGTACCTTCACAAGGCCTGATCTAATAATTGAGAAGTATGATAACATCCTGGAGGATTGTGTGTTGATTGTGCCGGCAAATCCCCGGTGTTAGGTAGAGTTAACCTCCAATCCGGCTCTCCTGGCAGAAGGTCGGAGTGGGAGGTGACAGGGCCTTGTTGTCTCATTATGACAGTTTGTTGTTCTATTCATGGTTGGAGTCACACTGCCTATCCACAATGTCAACCCTCAGCTGTCTCTCCCTGACCTTTCACCTTTCAGTAGGCACATCCTTGACCCCTGAAGCTTCCATTACACATTTTTTTCTAATCTGCTTCTCTAGAATGAATCCTCTTTTGTTGTCTTCGTGACCCGTAGCTGCCAACGTGGTAAAATAATATCTCGGGATATGCAGATACTTAGTTGCTGGTTCTAAGCTCATCACCATGTCCTTTCAAAGATTTGTTTTTCCATATCCTTCAATTTGCAACTTTTACTAAAATGAAACCAAGTGATCATGCCTCGAAGGTTCTTCCTGCTGTAGGGTGCTGGAGAGTCCAATGGAGACTTCGAGTGGCATGGACCAGGATTCCTGTTGATCTTGTCATGAAGGTCCTGTTACAGTATATTGTGATGGAGGATTTAGTGGAAACTTTGAGGGTATGATCCAATGGAGAAATCAAATGCCCAGGTCCAGGATCCCTGGTAATCTTCTAATGAAGGTCCTGTTACAATGTATGGTGATGGAGGATTTAGTGGAAACTTTGAGGGTATGGTCCAATGGAGATTCTGAGTGGCATGGACCAGGATTTCTGGTGATCTTGTCATGAAGGTCCTGTTACAGTGTATGGTGATGGAGGATTTAGTGGAAACGTTGAGGGTATGGTCCAATGGAGATTCCGAGTGGCGTCGACCAGGATTCCTGGTGATCTTGTCATGAAGGTCCTGTTACAGTATATGGTGATGGAGGATTTAGTAGAAACTTTGAAGGTATGGTCCAGGATCCCTGGTGATCTTGCCATTAAGGTCCTTCCTGTTACATGGTGACAGAGGATCCACTGGAGATTTTTAGTGGCTTGGTTTAGGATCCCTGGTGATCCTGCCATGAAGTTCCTTCCTGGTATAGTGTGATGGAGGGTCCAATAAAGACTTTGAGTGGCATGGTCCAGGATCCCTCGTGATCCTGCAATGAAGGTCCTTACTGTTATAGGGTTATAGAGGGTCCAATGGAGACTTCAAGCAACATGGTTTAGTATCCCTGGTGATCTGCCATGAAGGTCCTTCTTGTCATAGGGTGTTGGAGGGTCCAATGGAGACTTTGAGTGGCATGGTCTAGGACTCCTGGTGATCTGCCATAAAGGTCCTTCTTGTCATAGGGTGATGGAGGGTCCAATGGAGACTTTGAGTGGCATGGTTCAGGATCCCTAGTGATACTGCCATGTAGGTCCTTCCTGTCATAGGATGATGTAAGGTCCATCCAAGACTTCAAGTAGCATGGTCCAGGACCCCTGGTGATCAGTCATGAAGGTCTTTCTTGTCATAGGGTGATGGAGGGTCCAATGGAGACTTTGAGTGGCATGGTCCAGGATCCCTAGTGATCCTGCCGTATAGGTCCTTCCTGTCATAGAATGATATAAGGTCCAACTGAGACTTCCAGTAGCATGGTCCAGGATCCCTGGTGATCCTAACATTACGGTCTTACCTGTTATAGGGTGA